TCTTTCCCTCTCCTTTATTCTATTTTCTCTAGTTTAAATTTTTCTTTTTCTTTCTTGAGGACAAGAAAGATTCAAGCTTGGGGAGATTTGTTAGATGCATTTCATGCATGCACTTTGTGCCCGCTGTCCCAAACATGGAATTACCGAGTATCAGCTTCTCCAATATTTCATTGAAGGCATGACTCCAATGGAGAGAAGACTTCTTAATACTTCTAGTGGCGGCTCTTTACCCGACAAGACTCCAACCGAAATCCGCAATCTAATCAAGAACATGGCTGAAGATTCTAAACATTCAAGCCATGATGAAGAATGGTACACGGATGCACCCCGAGGTGTAAAGGAGGTCCAAACTCCTCAAATTGAAGCTCAATTGTCCGAGCTTACGAAAGTGGTTATGATGCTAGCCAAAGACAAAGGTGTGCAGCCCACACCCCACCCATGCGGTATTTGTACTCAAGTGGGGCATCCAACCGACATGTGCCCTCAACTTCAAGAGGAAGATTATGAAGAAGCAAAAGCCATGGGAGGTTTTCTTGGGTCTAATCAAAGGGGATATGAGCAGCCACGGGGTGATCAAAGATGGAGTAACAATCAAGAGATTGTGAGCCAGTGGCAATCCAATCGGGAGATTGTGGGCCAGAGTGGCAATCCAACCAGGAGGTTGTGGGCCAGGGTAATCCACTCGGGAGACTGTGGACCCATCATGCATTTTGTATATTTGTTGGTTGTGTGTGGTATTTGGGGGAAACTCACTAAGCTTTGGCTTAAAGTTTTAGTTTTATATTTTAGGTACTTCAGATGATCGGGGCAAGGAAAAGGCTTGATCGTGAACATCCTTCAGTTTTTATGATACTTGATTTTGGGATACTCTGATTTGTGATTTTGACTTTTGGAAACTAAGTTTTGTAAACATTTATGGTGTGTGACTGGTTTTGAAAAATGAAAATTTTACCTTGATTTCTGGAATGTTACATGACTGATCCTTTGGCAAGGGATGCATTTTTTCTGAATCGGACCTTCACCTTGGGATGGGATACAATTCTGGTTTTTAGGTCGCCCGGCTTGTCGTTTGTCCATCAATGGTGGCAGTACAACCATGACTTCATCTGGTTCTTCATATTCAATTGGAACTGGCACATGAAACACAGCCTCTACATATGTTGATCTATATGTTTCCATTGTGAAGTACGATGACACCCATGCACTGCACTGTTGATATCTCAGTTCCTTGAATACTGCCATAACATGAGTACAAGGTATACCCACCAATAGCCATTTCCCACACATACAGTAACGACTTTCCAAGTTTACTATACCATTTTTATTTGGTCAGTCACCTCATATCTGCTTTGATCAATCTGGTATACCCGAAAAGCATAGGATTTGTTGATCATCCTCTCGACGAACTTCTCAGCATACTCAGTAACATCTTTTTTTCTTTCAACTATAAAATACATTTACATATATGTTGTCATGCACAATAAATTACATTAAAATTATCATGGAAGTATTACAATATAAACACTTACCTCCAACATTATGTTGCTGGCACCACCCTTATTGCATAGTTACTCGAAAGAAATCAATCAACATTGTTATTGGTACTTTCCGTGCATCTCTTGATAATGCATTGAATGTGTCGGCACTGTTTGATGTCAAAATATTGTACCGAACCATAGGAAAAAACGACCTTGCCCATCTCTTGTTATTGATTATGTCTAGCCATGTATGACAATATTCGTTTAGTGCACGATGTATCCTACCCAAGATTTTTTTGAAATCAGACTCTCGGTAAGCCTTTGTAGCCTCCCAAAACAAAATATGTTCTCTCTTGCTTGTCGATCTTTTCTCTCATATTCATCAACAAATAGCGACAACAGAGTCTGTGATATGCATTCGGGAACACGACTTGAATGACAATTTCAATTGATTTTGCTCTATCTAATATGATAGCTAAAGATGGCATGTCCCTAATACATTCTTTGAGATTTGATAAAAACCAAATCCATGACTCTCCACTTTTAATTTTCCCAACACCAAACACCAAATCCAATAGGGAGGATTTGGTTATTACCATCCATGCCTACTGCTAGGAACATGGTGCCCAAGTATTCCCTTTAAGGTGTGCTCTGTCAATGATAATAATCGGACACAAACATCTTTGAAACGCTCGAACCTAAAAAGTAATTAATAACCTAATTAAATCAAATGCACGTGTATGGACATTAAATATAAAGAAGTCGGTATATAAAAAAATATTACCGCACAACCGATAGCCATGAAAAGGTATTCAAATTTGTTGTCATCACTCGTCTTTATATGTGTAATCGTCCCTGGATTCTTTTTATCCAAGTTGTAACAGTATAAAGGTAGTCTTTGAAAGCTTTCTTTAGGGGTCCCTCTCAATAGATTTAGAGCAAACATTTTAGCATTCCATGCTTTTCAGTATGAAATATGTACACAAAGACGGTCATTTAATGTTTGTTGTATATGTTTCCTCCACAACATATTACCCATACTAGCAGCTAATATGCCCTTCAAGAAGTGACCCAATACTTTTTTTGTTGGCTTGTCGGTGATGGGAACATAGTTGTGTGTTTGAGAAAGTGGGTTTCTCTGATAGTTTAACCACTTGAAATGTATTTGTAGTATTATGTTTCATTACCCGTATCCGCTAGTCATAATTATCCATATAGCAAACAGCTTCAAACCTGTCATTTGTAGATTTTTTTCACTTTATATTGGAATCCCTCAGTAACACTTTTCAATCCTAAATTAAGCTTAAGTGCTTCTTTGCTTTTGAAGATTTGGTATAACTTCACATGGGAAGTATAGTTGTGTGTTGTGGCCCCTTTACATTTTTGTTGAGCTAATTCGGGCAATGGTAAAGGTTCAGGCATACCCCAATGGGTGGGTTGTGTTTCTTTAGAATTGGAAAAATAAATAGAAAACTTTTCCTCTTGTGATTTTCGGGGTTGTAAAGGATCAGTTTCCTCCTTTCCACCTTCATAATCATCCCCACCTAATTCAGGGTAACTCTGAAAATGTTCAATTGGCTCTCCATGTGAAATTATATTACCATCATCAAGCAACATCATTAGTTTTGTCTCATCATTTGCAAATTCATCAACGTCATCATGAAGGTCAAGATGAACAACAACCTTACATTTAGACTTATAATCACCACCATCTATAGGGTCATTGTAAGAAGGAACATGGTTGGTTGTCATCAATAATAAATTACAAATGTGGTTACTACCAGCACCGGAAGAACCATTTCTAGAACGATTTTTCTCGGAAAATCAATTAATACCACTTTCCAATACATTATTAACAACAAACAATTGTACTATGTTGGGGGGCATAATACTAACAAAACTAAGAAAATATCTAACATCACTATCGTTAAGAATCTGCATAACTACATTTGATCCAAGACATTGAAAAGATAGATGAATTTGATTAGTATGTAATCTGGCCTTGGAAGCAACCAACGTAACTAACCCAACGAAGTTGATATCATTTCTTATATCTACACCAAAGCATGTGTAGTCTAGGGCAAGATATTGCATACATCCGTCGATACGCTGCCATTTCCCTCCACTAGAAACTGGCACTCGAAAAAATCTTGTATACATACTCATTCCGGAACGTTTATAGAAAGTATCAAACACACAAATATATTGCATATATGGAACAAAACCATACAACTACCCTAATTCTAGCTCTATGGAATAACATTGTGGAATGTATGGCCATTCCGGACTGTAGTCCGAAATACACTTTTTCAGTTCGGAACATACGAAATGTCATATTTCGGACCAAAATCCGACCAACCAGCACCAACTCTGAAACAACATCATAAATACTCTGGAATATTGTATTCTGGATTCCAAGTTCGAAACGAAATTACGCGCTCCGGAGTATGTGGTCACTTTTACGAAGAAAAAAAAATTCAAGTGGTAATTTTTATTAACAACCATGTTTTTAAGGGTTAAATTACTCAATTTCCCTTGTTTTTATAACATCTATCGAATTATCGAAATATTAACGGATTTTGTTTATATACGAAGAAAATATTTAGGGACCATCTATATACCGTGTATTTTACACGGTGTCCTAAAATCAATAGCACATTAGGATGTTTCAAAACATTTTTTATTATGAAATGTTTATTATTATAATTTGTTTGCTTCTAGTAGCTTTTTTTTTTTGAACCGACAATGAAATATATATTGAGAAAAATAAAAAACTCCAGCAAGGTGCTAGGAGCAGAGTACAAAATAAGCAGAGCAAAAAAAAAAATTACAATCCAGTAAAAGGGTTTGAACACCAGTCTGTCCAACTAATCTTCACCCAAGTAAACACCGTAGATATAATAAATTGACAAATCCAATTTTACGAGTTACGACAGGTAGGATTGGGTTGTGTAAACTTAACTCGTTTTTTTTTTCCTATTTTTTTTTTACTTTATTCATTTAATTAACATGCTATAAACAAAAATTATAAAACATAGCGTACATATATCAACCTAATTACAAGTAAATGAATCAAAAATATCATCTCTATACTTTAGTAATTTAATCATCATAAAATATATATCACCATATCGACATCAATAATGTCAACCGCATTGCATAATCCAAAATTAAACTGAACAATAGTTATTGGCATAGTCCTTAGAACAAGGAAAACAAGGCCATAAATTAATTACCAGAAAAATTAGTAAATTTATATTAATCATTTTCTTCTTTCCTTTTGAAGAATATATTTTCGATGAACAAATAATTATATCGATTAAAATTTTGTTATTGTTACAAGCTATAAGTGCTTGAACAATTTAATTAATTATTTTTTTTTCACCTTGTTCAACCAAAATATAAACAAATTGGCTCATACAACTATTTGAACAAATGAAGAACTGTAACATGTACTTATTATTACAATTATTACAATGATGATAGCTATAAATTTGTAACAAAGCAATTGTTTACAAAACTTTACAAGAATGTAAGTGCAGGATTAATTGTTTCTATGATTTTAATTGGTGGAGTAGAGGTGATGACCTCTACTTTGTTCCTATTTGGGACCCACCAAACCCTAATACTCTTATCAAGACTACCGCTATACACCAAGAACCCACCACCAATACGACTTGGTGACACTTGTAAACATTTGATTGGTCCATCATGACCCTTCATCACACCAATTTTAGTCAACCCTTTGACTTCCGTCTTCCATACACGGATACTCCGATCTGTTGAACCAGTACACAGAATGTCACCCTTCATACACATACACAAAACAGACATTTTATGTGCTTCAACTTCAAAAACAACCTCCCAACTGTCCACCGACCACCCTATCACATACCCATCTGACCCACCACCGTAGACCACCGTCCCATCACCGGAAACTATGACGGAGTTCATGGATATGTCCTTGTGACCTTCAAGAATTGCCATCAAGAAATGTGGACCTTCTGGTTCAAGTCTCCCCCATGCCTTGATCTTCCCATCTGCAGAAGCGGAGAAAACCATTCCTTTGCTGGTGGTGAGAGCGTTAATGGCGTCGTTGTGGGCTTTGATTGATTCTAAACATTTGAAATCAGATACTCTCCAGACCTTTAAGGTTCGATCCCAAGAACCAGAATAGATCAAGTTATCCTGAACAGCTAAACACGAAATGGTGTCTGAGTGTTCGATCCATAGACGCTTATGGTGGCGTCTTGTTTGGATGTAATGACTGCGCTTCATGAACTTTCCAAGATAATCCTTGTTCGTTGGGAGAGTGTCAACGAATTTGAAGATGTTTTCAAGATTTCTTGACACCTTCCAAACCCTAATCTTCGAATCTTGATGGGCTGTAAAGATTTTGCTTCCGACAGTGACGAGATCTTTGACGGAGCCACGGCCATGGCCGAAGGTGGTAAGCAGTCGGAGATCCGGTTGTTGCCAAACCATGATTTCTTTGCCTTGAGAGGCACTGATGATGAATTCTCCACATAACGCAAGACAAGAAACAGACTCGGTGTGGCCGGTGACGATGGTTAGTGATTGGTATGGGGCGGAGGGTGAGGGTACTGTGGGTGTTTGAGGGATTCCATGGTGGATGACACCGTGGGGTGCGGCGGCTGCTGCCAGGACCTCGTCGGCGTCGTCACTGCTTTCATCGCTGCTACTGGTTCTGGAGGTGGTGGTGATTGATAGAAATGCGTTTGGTAGCAGATGGGTTAAAATCGAGGGCTTCATCGTGAAATTTGTTTCTGCAAAATCTGAATCAAATTAAATGGCAGAGTAACGTGAAATTTGATCACCGATGGGTATATAAGATGAGAACGGAAAGCAAGAAAACTGATTGTGCTATTTAAAAGGGGAATTCTTTGTACAAATATGGGTGTTTGGAAAAAAGCTGATAGAAATAGAAGTGTTTTGAAGCTATGGTTAGAAATATGGGTGTTCACAGGTGGGCCCACCATATATCCATTCGCTGTATATTAATATATTTACATTTTAAGCCCTTATATATTTACTGATTTCACCCTCTAACCTATATCTTCATTCTATTTTGTGAAAATTTTATTTTGAACATTATTATGTATTACATAAAAATATACAATTAAAATGTATCTATAATTCTTAGCAATTATATTATTACATACATCTTACTATTACTTTCAAATCAATATCATTATTCAATATATTGAAAATTTTGTATTATTTTTAACAAACAATACAATCAATAATAAATTTATAAAATTTTATTATGAATTTTTGTTTCAAGAGAAAATAATAAAGTATTTGCAAAAATTAATTGAAATGTGTCGGTATTCTTGAGCAATCAAAAATATTGATTAAATATTTTATCTACAAAAGCAAAAATAATTGAAACTCAATTATCTTTTTTGAGAAATCCAAAATATTGATTAAATAGTTTATCTATAAAAGCAAAAATAACTGAAACTTAATTATCATTGTTCATGAAAATTAAAAAAGTTGATTAAAGGAATTAACAAATCGGTTACATTTTCGTGTTATAAATTTGATCCAATAAACTCAGTTTAAAATCATATAATCATATTTGAATTATAAGTTCTTTTATCCTTTGTACTCTTAGAAAGTTGGGTTGAAAGTAAGCTAAGAATATTGGTAATCAAAATCTGAATTTTTGATAGATTATTTATGTTTGCTTTCTGTGTAATATTTCGACCCTAATTGTCTGAATTTCATGAAATTTAGTCTGAGATAATCTATTAAATGACTTTCTGTTCAAGCACAAATTTGAGATAATATATTAAATGACTTTCTGTTCAAGCACAAAAGAGAGCATTTTTTTACAAAGGGTATATAGATTGTTCAAATTCGAGAGATGACAAAAATCTAGGATCTCTTCTATTTATACTCATAAAGTGGGTACGTTTGACAAAATACATATTTGGAAGTTATTAACGACTATAGGGAAATTTTAATCGTTTTTTTAGTTTTGCAATAGTCATTATCTTTTTTTTTTTTTTTCAACCAGATAGAATTATATCATCATATTTCAATTATAAGCTCTTTCATTGTTCGTTCTTTATAAATTTGGGTAAAAAATAAGGTAAGATAGGGAATCAAAATCCAATTTTTTTATAGATCGTATATGTTTTTTTCCCATACGTAACTAAATTATTTGGGTTTCACGAAATTTAATGAGGGATAATCTATCAATGCACTTTCGATTCATACACAAAAAATAATTATTACAAGGATAATGACTTAAAAGGGTAATATATATTTTGATTTGTTCACGATATCCTACGTGGGACAATCATTAACGAGATGTTCTCATATGTGGCTCGTTATTCATTTATATCAGTAACTTAGTTCACTAAGCGGTCAAATAATGTTGGTGCCCTACTTTTCTCCAAGCAGAAGATGTCTTCGGTTTCAGTTTCATCTATCTCCAGAGTAGACAACGAGATTATTTGTGATTGCTTCCTACCTACTCGAATTTGCACTTCTAATTGGTGAATTGAAACTAATCACAAAAGTTGAGGGGTTGAATGCTGTATAATCGAAACATGATGTTCAATTTTCAGTTACAACTCGTAATTAAGAACGATATTAAATATAATGTCGGTTACGAATTGTGTTTTAATGACAATTTAATTGTTTGTTGGTTATGGTTTGTAGTATAAATACAACAATTCCTCAACCATTTGAGACACACCAAGAATGCAACCAAAATCTTTTCTTCTTCATTTTTGTCTTCTTCATTTTCTTGTTATATTGAGGGTAAAATCTAGGTCTATTGAGAGTTCGGGTGGTCTAGAAGAACCACTTCAAACTGTTGTATCCTAGGAAACAAACACCCGGTAGCGGGTGAATTTGTTTTAAGGATGTAACATTCCATTTAAAATAAAATAAATTAAATAAGTAAATAAATAAAATTGATAAATAAATAAATAATTATTAAATCCTAAAACTCCGAAATATATTTTTATATTTTATTTTAGCCCTAAAGTCGTATTAAATTAGCGGGGTGTACACATTGGGGTGTTAAAAGTTATATTTTCTGGATATTGAGGGTCAAATTGTAACATATGGACTAGTATTGAATTGATTTTTGGAAGCATGGGGGCTATAGTGTAACAGCCCAAAAACCGGATACAATTTTTCATTTTTAAATAGGAGATTACAGTCATAAATTGTTTCCAAATCCATTACAGAATAAACATGTTTAATAATCAGAGTAACAATATCGGTAAGTGCGGAAAACAGTGGGGAGGGAATGTTGCACCATCAAGTCGGGCCCTTCCCTTTAGTACCGGAAGTACTTGAAACCACAATACAAACTGTAAGCAAAAGTTTAGTAAGTTTCCCAAATACCACATAACATACAATTGAAAAATACCACACAATATACATATGATTGTCATGGGCTACCCCCATGGTCTTCCATGCCATGGGCTACCCCCATGGTCTTCCATACAAGTGTCACGGGCTACCCCAAAAGGTTTTTCAGTCAAACAAACACATAGACAACTATCATTCGACATGTCAAGTAATGGGTCGGTATTGGTGCCTTCGACCCATTGATATAGCGAGAAGAATCACCTCGGTCTGCTGGTAAATACTGACTGCTCGGCTACAGATCCAACAATCTCACACTGAATATACACAAATTACCCTAATTAGAATTTGGTCACAGACTCAACACATGGGCCAAAACCCTAAGTCCAACTCTTAGAATATGCCCCATTTCGCCCATCCCATAATGGGCCTAACCATATTCGGCCCATCCATAATAACGAGCTCCATGGCCCAAAAGGCCCAATCCATGACACGCAAGGCCCACAATAGAAAATTGGGCCCACCTATCCTAAGCAGGCCAAGGCCCATAACTAGTTAAGGCCCAAAAGTCCTAAAGTCCAAAACTTGTCCAACAGCCCACTGAGCATACACACAACGTGATCATCAGTACGCTTAGCGTACTCGGTCTTCAGGCAGTACGCGCATCGTACATCTTAGTACGCCCAGCGTAATAAGCTGTTAAGCATATTTAGGCATTAAGTGCTTAATCCATGCAGTCACTTCGTCAACTTCCAGATCTTGGTCATTTAAGGGGTCCTAGGGCATAAAGTTGGCAATTTTATGCCTTTGCACGCCTTATGGGAGCCTAACATCCCATTTTGTCCATTAAGACTTACTTTAAAGACCTATACTCATGCATGGTGTCATAACAACCTTCAAGATAGCATTTCTATGCCTCTAACACACCAAAGGGACCAAGATCTAGCATTACAAGCTTCTGGAGTTGCTCAAACTCACAAAAGAGAATCCATGGACCATAAATGAGCTTATGAACAAACTCTAACTCTATGTATCAAAAGGATTAACAAGGTATGAGCTTTTTACCTCCAAAATCCTCCTAAGATGATGTAGTTGCAGGATCTTGAAGCTCAACCACGTCCAAGGCTTGCACACCAAGTTCTTCTTCTTGCAAACACACCAAAAACGGCCATAAGGTCACTTTCAAGCTCAAAGATCACACTCCAAAGTAAACTAGGGTTTTAGGAAAGTTTAGAGGTGTCGATGCTAATAATGGAGGTCTAAAGGTCATAAATGAGCTTAAATAGGGCTCATGCCCGAAAAATTAGGGTTTTGCTTTTTGGCCATGTACGCCCCGCGTACATCTTCGTACGCCCCGTGTATCTGGTTCAAGTCCGCGATCCATCCACCCATGTACGCCCAGCGTATAGAGGACCTCTTTTGCAAAATAAACTATGATCCAAGGACTACTGCCATGAACAAATCAGGGTAGTGCTCCTTCATCTCGTCCTACAGTTCCCACGTCAACTCGGAGCCTCTTCGGTGATGCCATTGCACCTTCACCAAATTCACCACCTTATTGCGCAAAGTTTTAGTCTTTTTATCAAGAATCACAATGGGCTTTTCCATATAATTTAGGCACTCATCCACCTGAATATCATCTAGCGAGATCACTGCAGAATCATCGGCTACACATTTCCGCAACTAAGATACATGGAAAGTGTTATGGATCTGACTGAGCTCATCAGGAAGATCCATCCGGTATGCAACCTTACCAACACTGGCATAAATCATGAATGGACCATTAAATCGGGGATCCAGCTTGCCCCTCATCCGAAATCGGATGACACCTTTCCAAGGTGATACCTTCAGCAACACAAAGTCTCCCACCTGAAACTCGAGATCTGAACGACATCGGTCAACATAACTCTTCTGACGACTTTGCGCGACCCGTAGTCTATCGTATACCTGTTGAATCAACTCGGTGGTCTTAAGCACTACCTCAGTGCTTCCCATGACCCGATACCCGACCTCTCCCCAACAAACCGGGGTCCTACACCTCCTTCCATACAACATCTCGAATGGTGGTCGATCAATACTAGCATGATAACTGTTGTTGTAGGAGAAATCTGCCAGTGGAAGGTAAGTATCCCAACTCCCTCCAAAATCCTGCACACAAGCCCTAAGCATATCCTCGAGCGTCTGGATCGTCCGCTCGCTCTGACCGTCGGTCTGGAGGTGGTACGATGTGCTGAAATGCAATTGAGTGCCTAAAAAACAGCATCATGTCTGCTGAAAAACAGCCATTTCTGTAGTTTTAGCTGGAAAACAGCACAAATTTTACAGTTTTACTGAAAAACTGCATCAGATTATGAAAAAACAACCTCATATTTGGGGAAAAAATGGTTTTTATAGTTTTGTTCTTGACTAAGATTTCAGAT